CTATAAAGACACTCCATCTTTTGGCTCTGGCCATTTTTACTGGTTATCTCCCATGCCTGGAATGTTCTCCTTCCTTATCTCCTACTAGATTCCCTGACTTCTTGAAGTTCCAGCTAAAATCTCACCTTCTACAGGAAACCTTTCCCAATCTCTCTTAATTCTAGTGCCTTCCCTCTGTTGGTTATTTCAATTTATCCTGTCTATATCTTCTTTGTACATAGTTGTTTATATGTTATCTCACCCATTGGATTGTGAGCTCCTCAAGGACAGGAACTGTATTTTCCCTTTCTTTGTATCCCCAGTGCTTAGCAGAGTACCTGGCACATAGTAGGTGCTTAATGAATGTATTGTGACTGATTGTTAGGAGATGGGCAGCATGCTTTATCATTGGTACCTGGAATCATGATTGGTGATTCCATTGATCAGAGTTCTTAAATCTTTCAAAGTTCGTTTTCTTTACATTATTCATATTTTGATTATGTTTTTCCCTCCATCTTGTTCTCTTATACTTTTTCCTCTCTTTGCTCCCCACCCTAATCTTTAAAAAGAAGAGGGTGATGAGAGAGTGTGCATAACACTAGTGATCTCTGCTTGATGAAATTTGCTTCTGCTCCTCTGCCCCTGCCTAGCCCAAAAACCAGTCAGATTCTTGTCCTTTCTCCTGTCCCCGTACACCCTACCAATTTAGTTTGTTTTGCTGATCTTTCCCTGTTTGCATCCTTCCTCTTATTCCCTCTTCTCTCCCCCTCCCACTTTCCTCCTATTTCCCTGTTGAATTGAATGTATTTTTATACCAAAAAATTTTTTTTATATTTGACCTTTTTTTGACTAGTTGAGATGAAAGTGAAGTTCTCGTGATACCTGCTCCCACCACCCCCTTTTCTTCGTTTATAGACATCTATTTGCCACCCTGTACAGTGGGAGCTAGAGTATGAGGATGTGACCTGTCACTGCACAGTTAATGTAAACTACCTTTAAAGTAAACAGCAAAAGAAGTTCTAACCGTCCCATGGGAAAACTTGCAAGTTACCCTGGGCCATCCCTGGCACTATGTCTTCTTTGTCTTGTTGCCATATGATATCTGACTTGGCCTAAAGGTGGTGGCGGAGATCTATGACTGTCTTCTTGCTGCCAAGGACCAGTCTTGTGAGTAAAATTCCCCAATTAGTTCAATAAACCCCAATAAATCTACACATTCATAACCACACTGGTGTGGTCTGCTTCTTTCTTTTGCATCTCAGTACCTTCCCATTATGGTGGGGCTGTTCCTTTGGATGGTTTGTGTTCTTATACACCTTCATTATGTGAGAGAGTAAGTTGTCCCCCCTTACTGCCCCTCATCCTCCCTAGAAGTGTTTCCTAGAACAGAAGTGTCAAACATACAGGCTGCATGTGGCCCACAACACAACCAAGTGAGCCTAAAAAAGATTAAAATGTCAATGGAAAATATTTAACAAAATACAGTACAATAAAACATAAATATTACATTTTAAGATTAAGTCGACATGAGACCCGCAGGGATTCCAATGTATGATTTTACAGCCTTTGTTTCTACTTAACATCACTGCTCTAGGATATTTCTTTCAAAAATCATCAAAACGTAACAGAAAAACAGTCTCAGGGCTGTCTTAATTCTTCTATGACCTTTGATACTTGTTTGTTCTTTCTTATTAGAAGGTAAATATTTTGACCTTGTGTAGTCCCTTCCAATGGCTCAAACATATTTACCTTTTCATGTTTCTCTTAACCCTTGTGTTTGTACTTCAAAGTTTCTATGCAGTCTGCTCCTTTTATTGGGAGTGCTTTGATGTCCTCAATTTCATTAAGGTCAGGCTTTTTTACTCTCTGTAGGATTCCATTCATTTATTTCTGGGTAAGTTATAAACATTTATCTTTTGCCTTTTGGAATGCACCAAATCTTGTGTGATCCTTACTATGGTTGCCCAGTACTCTAACTCTTTCTTTCTGGATGCTTGCCTTATTTTATCTGGAAGAGATCTCTACATCTTGGCTATAATACTCCTGGAAGTTTTAATTTTAGGGTTTCTTTGATGAAGTGATTCTTTCTACTTTGCTTTGCTTTTTGGGCAGTTTTCACTCGAGATTTCTTGAAATGTGGTTTTATCTAGACTTGTTGGTATTGACTTTCAGGTAGTCTGATGATTCTTGGAGTTTTCCCCCTGTATCACCTGTTTTCTAAGGGTGGGTGTTTTTAATATATTTTATTGTATAACTTCCATTTAGTTTAATCTAATTTTCATGGAGTCTGTTAGTTGAGTATGGTTTTGTACAGATTGTACTAAACTGTTAAGTTCTCCTCCTAAATCCTTCCTAGCGCTCTCATTCCTTTACCAATTCTTTCCTCTAAAGATCTCACTTTGTTTTAAAGCCATTGCTAGAAATTCTGGTAGACTTTGTGGCCCAGTGGGTTTTTCTTTTTGTGTGTGTGTGAGGCAATTGGGGTTAAGTGACTTGCTCAGGGTCACACATCTAGTGAGTATCATGTGTCTGAGTCCAGATTTGAACTCAGGTCCTCCTGACTTCAGGGCCAGTGCTCTATCCACTGCACCCCCTAGCATCCGTGAGTTTTTCTTTAAAGCTTTACTTGCAAATATAGTATTTCTGTTGTTTGTGTTTTGGATTTCCTTCATTTGTTTATTCATTCTTCCAGCCTTACTTCCTGAATTGGGACTTTGTGCTAGGGCCAAACCCTGCACACTTCTGGAGGGACTGTTAGGGCCTTGTGTATTCTCTAGGGTCCTGTAACTGCTTTCTTTGGGTATTGAACACTATGTTCTTCAAGGATCTCGGGGGTAGCTCAGATCATATGAAATGAAGGCTGGTTGCAGCCCTCCTAGTCTGAGTTTTTAAGCTCCTTACCCCAGTTTGTGTCTAGCAAGTCCCAATTGCTGACTTGAAACTCCAGTAGACAGCTGCTGACCCCAGCCCCTGTGAGTCACTTGGAAGACTACAGGTTCAGACTGACAGGCCAATAGACTTGCCCTTGGTGTGAGCTTCCTGCCCTGGTAACTTACTGTGGATGGAATCTGAAATACTGCTTCAGAGGCAGAACAACAAGGCTGCAGGCTCATTTCTGTACCTTCTGTACCTGTATACTGCCCTGTCTGTAGGTCCCAGCCCAAGGTGTTCCAGATTCGGTAGTGTCATAGCTGCTTCCTGCTCAGCACACCACCTCCTGTGTGGTGGTGGATCCTTAAGCATTCCTTGTTATGGTACCCAGCCACAGGCCAATGCTGAAGTCCTGTGCAGGCCTTGCTGGCTTGAACTGGCACCACTCTGACCCCTCCAGTGCCCGAAGGCCTCTTGAGGTCTCCTTAGGCTGACTTGGATTAGGAAAAGAACTAGTGGTTTCTCCTTGAGTTTCCCAATCACTACTCCTTCTGGTGCTTTTCCTTCCTCTTTGTTGGAGTACTTGTGGGAGAGCCAGGCCGTACTTTCTCTTACCCTGACATTTTTGCCAAACTAATACCTATAGTCTTTAGAGGTTTTAAGGCATGTTTACTTGGTTCCTCATCTAGAGATGGAGATAATGTGTATAGAAAACTCTCAAGGTTTTTCTGGGGTTTAAAGTGTCATTTAACCAGCAGAACAAAGCTTTTGTGGGAATGACTGAATGAATGCAGAAAGGAAGAGACTTAAGCCTTCCTGCTCCTGTGTATACCTTTGCCACATTTGTGTCGAGGATAGACCTAGCTCTTTGAAAGACTGGGAGAAATCCTACAGTCTATGCAAGGTTTAACAAAGTCTGAGTTGTTAGGCATTGGAGTAAGCGTATTAAAATAAGCTGCCTATAGAGAACAGGGAGCTCTAGGGAGCTCTCAATGACTCAGGTGATGGTTCTCCTGGAGATAAGGTAATGTCAAAAAGATGAGGAGTTGGATTGTTTTCCTTAAGCTATCCAAATTAGCTTCTTGAAGTCTAAAAAACAAAAATTCTAGAGCTACTCTCTCATCTAATTTGTCATCTTTTACTAGCAAAAGACAGGGGTGAGGAGTGGTTCATGGCTTTCATGATAGCCTGTTTTAAGCAGACTCCACCTACCACTTTATCTCAGATGATCAGCCAGCTATGTTAAATTGATTATTAAGTGGCAGCCATTAAAAAACCATACTACATAAGGATCCCTGCAGGCTTCCTACTCAGAAAACCACTTATTAATGCTATCCATATTTTACTGCAATTTTATTTATTTTGTAAACTATTTCCCAATTATATTTTAATCTGGTTTGGGTCGACTCAGGAGCATTGTGGGCCCTGGGTTTGACACCACCGATTTAGATAAGGGGCAGCTAGGTGGCGCAGTAGATAGAGTACCAGCCCTGGATTCAGGAGGACCTGAGTTCAAATACGGTCTCAGACACATAACACTCACTAGCTGTGTGACTCTGGGCAAGTCACTTAACCCCATTGCCTAGCCAAAAAAAAAAAAAAAAAATAGGGGAATAAAATGTAATTGTACATGTCACAACTTGTCAGTTTCTTGAAAATGTGAGGCTTGCTATCATGGGTCTTTAGCACAGTAAAAGAGTTCACAGCCATCTTTTGGGAGAATGTGTCCTTCATTTCCTTAAGATGATTGGGGTCTGCAGAATGGAATTCAGGATAGGGAGGAAATCTGACTCAGGGCTTGACCATAAATTGAAAACTGCCTAAGGAGAGATCCTTAATATTTGCTACTTAACCTTTTTCAAAGGCACATGCATGTGAAGGAAACCATGAGTAAATATATTTGGCTATCAGGGTTAATTTTTTTAGTTCAAAGATTCTGTGCAAGGGCTGTTTTGATTTTCTTGTAAAACTCCCCCCACCCCCAGGGAGTATTAGGCCTCATTTGGGTTAAGAAAAGAATGAGTGAAAATAAACTACTATGTCTACTAGAAGGCCATATTTACTTTAGACAGCTAGAAACTTAATAGCAAAGCTAAATATGAATTCTAAAGGGACCAACTAATCGACAAAATTGTGGCCCAAAACACACAGACAGAATCAAAATATTTATTGTGTTCTTTTGCACATGGCACTGTTAGGCACTCTACAACAATGTGTAACATGCTGTCTAACAGCAAAACTGCCCTCAAGAAGGTTACAATCTAAAATGGACAAAATCAACATAGACACACTGAATAAGGCATTTTGTAAAATTTTTTTGCTCTGGTTGATACATCTGAAGGAAGCATGAGGGAGGACAGGATCAAAATTAAAGGAGTGAAAGGTGGCTATGTTTTCAGGTCACCATACAATCAATGGGAAACCCTTTGGAAGCTGGAAGTACCGCTAAAATGAGTGGCTCTCTAGCATCAGCAGGGGACAAAAGGAATCCCACAGTAGTACCCCCAAATGGTAAGGGAACCGAATACTATAGCCATGAGAAAAAAATCTGTAAGGCTGTACCTGACATTGACTCATGAAGAATTCCTGGTTAATGGGCAGAATCAGGCTGAGGGTCCTCCCGCCTTTCAACAATGGCCATGTGGTTGCCAATTACTGCATCTACCACACAGCTCACCAACATTCAAATCTTTCATTCATTCATTCATTCACTCACTCAACATTCCTAGTACTATGTGCAAGGCACTGTACCAGGTTCTGAGGGGAAAGGAATACCTGGAACTTGCAAAAAAGCCCAGTGTTAGGATTTATGCATTCCGATGTATGGCTATGATTCAGTTTTTGAACCCAAGATCAGTAGAGATTTATTTATACACCCATATCCAGAGGTCCCCAGGAAGTCTTGGGAACATGTCAACTATTCACAATCATTAATCATTAACTCATGAGGCAAATTTGATGTAATATAGTAGTGGACAGGTTTCAATCTGTTCTTGTAGGAGAACCCACATAGCAATACTCTACACATTGAGCTGTATAGGAAAGAGTTAATGGGGAGGAATCAAAAGGGAGTGGAAGAGTCAAAGGAAAGTTGAAGGAGAAGCTAATTGTATAGAATACTAATGAGCAAATACTGAAACAAGGTAGTAAAGACTGGGCTAGGCTATTCTATCACCATAATCCGAAGTTTCAATAGGGAAGGAAAAGCAATGTTCCAAAAACTCATTTCTTGCTGAGTCCTTCAAAATATAGGCCTTGCACCAAAATAAAAATCACTCTATCCTGGATAGCATAAACTCCAAGAAACTGAAGCAAGGGAATGGTTTTCCCTCTTGAGAACTTTAAATACAATGCTTGCTTTAACGGGCTTGGTCCTTTATTTCACTGTCTAGGCCAAAACTCCTAGAAAGCAACAGGGCTGAAATTGAAATCATTTTTATTGTTTATTTATTGTTTTTATTTCAGTATGTTTGTCATAGTTTTTACTATTTCTTGATGTATTAGTGTCAGATCAGAGGATATTAAATCCTTAGTGTTGGATTGTAGAGGTCTCCTTGGTAAATTGTCACATGCTTAGCACATGCTCAGTAGATTCGAATCCCAGAAATGTAATTATGAGATAATTACACAGCACCATCTGGTTCTGGTTCTCAAGCCCAACTTTAATCCCATTAATTTATAACCCTCAATAATCCCACATGGCTTTAAGAGTGCCAGGAGATGGAAGGGACAATGACTAGCACAGCTGCTGGCTGGTGGGCAGAAAGTTCTGGGGCATACTCTCCCGCTATAGGCACTTCTATGTGGCTTTTCAGGGGGCCAATTTTACCAGACAGATCTATTAAAAAAAATCTTATTTTTCATCTAATTACTAAGCATTTCCAATGTTGAACAGGTGAAACAATTTATGATACTAAGTAGAGAAAACTGATGAAAGTAAGGGAGCTTCCAAAGAAGATCAATGGGAGGTTCTTAAATAAGTTTCCTATGATTATTAACGAAGATTTTGGGAACCAAGTAACCTGGAAGAAAAAAGAACGCCCTCCAGAACAAGCCGGGGTTGGAATTCATCGTTCAAGTATTTTAAGATTATAGGGTCACAGATTTGGAGCTGGAAGGAACCTTTGGTCACCTAGGCTGACCCCCTTATTTTCCAGATGAGGAGACCTGAGGCACAAGGAGGGTTAGTGACTTGCTTTAATTCAGACAGGTGGTATGTGAGCCAGGTCCTCTACTCTACCCTCCAGCTCTTTCCTCTGGTAGCACTGCCTTCCTTGTTCAAGAAACTGAGTGAGTTCGTACCAATCATAAAAGGGTGCAGCACTTTCTAGGAAGGGTTAAAAACCACCAGAGCAGTTGTACTTTGTCTTTTGCCCTAGGACATAATGAGAGTATCAAGCACCATGGAGGGCAGGATTTATTAGGTCAGTTCAGGAAGATTCACTTTATAGAGGTAGTTTAGACTTTGCAAAGTAAGCTCAACAGCAAGGATGAACAGTTGAATGTGATCCCTTATTGAGAAAATTAGGGAAGAGATCACAATGGCCATTCATTTAGGCAAGAAGCAATCTACATCAAATCCTCAAATGAAATAATGATAATCACATGAAGGCTGAACTAAAAGATGTCCCAGTTTAAAAGCAGACCACATTCCAAATTTCTAAGGTAAAGATAGACCCTGTGCTTATTTTAACACACCAGCCTACTGGCCAGGGCTAACTGACACATTCACTACAGTTAGTGACAGAACAGGCTGGAGGAGGGGAGACGGGGAAGGCGTGGGTTCTCTTCACCTGCAGTTCCCTTCTAAGAACCATTGCTATTTCACTAGTTGAAAATATGGAGTAATAATTCTTCATATGCTTTAACTCAGCCAGCTAGGGTAGGGCCAGCAGAGTGAGCTGAGAGATGTCATCATTTAGAGGCCCAAAGTAGTGATTCTGCATCCTTTAGATAAGAAATGATTCTCTACTTAGTATCATAAGGAAAAACTATGACAAGAATTTCATAAACCTATGACCAACTAATGAAGCAAGACAAAAAGATGCCAATGATTTTACTTGAAAATATTTCCTATTAAGTTGATTGTCAGTTGTGTGATTGGTGAGATAACAAAAAAGTAAATGGTGGCAGAAGCTTCTGACCTGGACTGTTGCTATGTAAGGAACACATTATAGCACTGTTATTCAACTCAAAAATCCTTCAGATTCTCAGGTTGCCACGTATCACTTCACACCTCGGCAAAGGCATTATCCCACTCACTCAGTCCAACAACTGGGAGATATGTTCTAGTGTTATGGGGGTGGGAAGGAGTTTCCCACAACCTCTGTCTATGACCCCAAAATGACCTCCAATCTACAATTGTGATTAAAAGAAAAAACAGATTAAAAAGGGAAGTAAATGATCAAGAAATTAGAACAAAAGGCTTGATTATCAAGGGAACTGAGGATCTCGGCCTAGTAGCAGAAAACAGTTTGGGGAGGGCACCATCCAGCTTGGAGGTTAGTATGTGAACCTCCTTGATTTGTTGTGTATGAAAGGGTTGGGAGGCAAGAGGCCATGGAGGGACAATGAGAGGACTTGAAATCAGCTCCCCCATCTCCAGCTACTTCCCATTGTGGTAAATAAGGCCACATCCTGGAGTCTGACATTAATGGCAGTGCTCTGTGATGTCTACTACCACTGCCTTCTTCCAGCTGAAGAGAAAGTATCCTGTGCCAGCCCCTGCTGCCACTGCGATGCAGAGGTACCCATTGTAGGTCATAAAGATAAGCATGAGAAAGTAGCTGATGACCACTTGGAAGATATGCAACACTGTCTGCAGAAGGTGAGGGAAACTCAGCATCTGTTGCCTGGAAAACAAAAAGGGACAAAAATTAGGGCTGACCTTGAATGTGCTCGCATCAATGAATACACTGGGGCAAAACTCACTTCCCAGCCTAAACCATGTTTCCTTCTTACTTCTACCTCACTGGCTCAACTCTGTTGGCTCTTCGGCGGGGAGTCTCCGTTGTCAAAACAGCATAGTTGGCTAGTCAACTGTTTAGGGTGACTAAGCTAGAGATGGCATGAAGGGTGTGGGAATTACAGATTTCCATTTATCTCTTCAGAGTTGACTTACTTTCCAATGTGTCTTTGAAGGACCTGGGTCGTTACGCTACAAATACTACATATTGTTCACATAATTTAGAAGAGATGTGTAGCAGAAATAAGGCTGCACTAGGAAGTGAGGAGATACTTCTCTTCCTGGCTCTAGTTCTGAATCTTTCTTCATTTCCTCAAATGGTAGTGCTCCCCACCCCAAAATTACTGGGTATTTATTCTGCATACATATAGTTTCTCCCCAGTAGAAGGCAAGTTCCCTAAGGGCAGGAACAATTTCATTTTTGTGTCTATTCTCAGCATCTTGGGAAATGGTAACCTCGAAATAAATGTTTGAATTGAAATCAATCTGTAAAACGGGGAGAACCCTATTTTTGTCATCTGAAAGCAGGTCTATGACCACAGCATCTTGGGGTTACTTCCAGACCCATAATGCTTAAATTCCAAAAAGCACTGGCCAGTCCTATACAGTTTGACAGAGCAAAACTATTATATTGCTGTCACCTAACATTAGGTACACTTTGGACTCTAAATCCTACAAGGGGGAAAAACATTTTGCCATTTTTCCCACCCAATATCCTAGTTTCTGTATTATTTTGGCAAATGTTCTTACAATGTGGAGTTCACATGTACCTTCTTCCAGGCACCTAGGATAACTTTCCATGCTTATAAAAAGGTTTCTTTCCTTCCTTTTTCTATACTAGTAGATGGCCTGGCCATGATACACAGTCCCATACTTCTAATGGAGGTAATCTAATCTCCACCAAGATTATATCAAATTATCACTTTAAGCAGCAAGTTGCCTCCTGTACAACTTGGCAAAGAGTTGCTTACTTAACGTAACGTGGTGCCCATGTTTTCCCACCTATAGTTATAGAATCAAAACAAGGTGTTTTTTTTCTTCCTTACCCAACAGTTTTGTGTGTTTCCATAAGGATGGTTCCATTTGGCCCCGGAACTGGCATGGAGTTGTAGCGAATGCTGACCTGGGATTTACGCAGCAAGCTCTCCCGGGCTATCTTGAGGCCTTCATAGAACATTGCTAACAAAAAGATAGCCACAAATGCCCCAGCCATTTCTAGTTAGGAAAAGAAAATGAAATGTCATCACATATAGAAATTCCTCATGTGACCAAGGTTATGTCAGAGGGAACCAAAACAGATCAGAAAAATAAATAAAATTTAAAAATCAAAATAATTATCTAATTTACTAAAATAAATGTAATATATAAATAATAATTAAATAAAATAAAAAATAAATCAGAAACACTATTGTTACTTCTTTTCTTTTCATTTCTTTCATTTGTTTTTTTTTGGCTAGGTAATGGGGTTAAGTGACCTGCCCAGTGTTATGTGTCTGAGGCCAGATTTGAAATCAGGTCCTCCTGAATCAAGGGCTGGTGCTCTATCCACTGTGCCACCTAGCTGTCCCTATTGTCATTTCTTCATACAGCAACCTCTACCTAGACAGTGACAAGAAAAGCAAATGGAAGCCCAGTGATGTTAAATCATGTGACTTGATATAAGCTTTCAAATCTTGTCAGAAGCAGGAACTCTGAAAGTTCAACTACATTTAAAGAGGCAACCTTTACAGACCCTTACATTATGAAGTGGTATTGGTGAAACAAATGAAAAACCTCACTGAAATCTAGGACTTCCTTTCCAAATAACTACATTTCCTTGTATCCACGGAAATTTTTTGCCATTAAGAAATTTCCCATTTGGCACTCAAAATGGGTAGGTTTTTTCCTGTGGGGTTAAAATATACATCCTAATACTCTATTACTTTTTGGATCTCTCTTGGTTTTGGATGCTACACTTATTTTCTGACCTTGTAAAGAAAATATTGCATGTATAAACTTTTAAACAAACACCTTGGAATTATACTCTAGGAAATGCTTTCCTCTGTCACTTAAATTTGTAACCCTGATTTTGACCAGGGATAAGCAACTTCATTTTAAATAGGAAAACATTCTAGGGAGCAGCTAGGTGGCACAGTGGATAGAGCACCTGCCTTGACACTTCCTAGCTGTGTGACCCTGGGCAAGTCACTTAACAGTGATTGCCTCAACAAAACAACAACAACAAAAAATACTCCAAAACATTCCAGAAGAGGATGGGATGAAATTCATTGGAAAATCCACCTCCTCCTTTGGTGGGGTGGGAGGGGTGTAACTGGAGTCTTGGATTAGGGTATTAAGACCCTAATCTACCTTACTGGATTTAAAAGATACTGTACTTTTGCTAATACCTGGTTTGTATAGAACTCAAGCACAGGCTAAAGTCTTATTGTTCAATGTTAGCTTAGGTATTTTTTTAATTTCAAAGAAATTCTATGGTTGTAAGCAATAGTGATTAATGTTTATAATTGGGATCCCATGATGAGTATTATAATCCTTATATTCTCACCTCACATGTGGGAAATTGAGTATAGGAACAGACAAAAAGAACCAATAACTGAGACAAAAAATTCTAGCCAAATAACATTATCTATAAGTTATCATACCGCTTCTCCTTCACAGAGGCTATCCTTGTCAAACAATTATGCTTGCTTACTTACCCCCAGGTGTATTGATCACTAATCCAGAAAACAGCAATTCCACATTCTTATAGCCAAAATAGAAGGTCATAGGCTGCCAGAAATAGAAATGAGCAAGTTAGACCCAGACAAAGTCGAGCTTAAAACTGCAGCTGAGGATGTGCCAGTGGAATTTTAAAAACTCTAGCTTAAGGGAACACAATCTTAAGGAGATGTTTTAAGCAGTAAGCTGCTAAACTGAAGGCTGGATTTTTCTTCTTCTTCTTACTTTATATAACTGTGTCTTCTGCCACTACCATCCAGGCCCATTTAATGTGTACATATACTTTATGGCTATACCATGGTACTGAGGAAGAGCCATAAATAGGCAATTTACTGAGTTTTATTAATTTATTACACAACAGAGAACAAAGAAAACCTAGAAGCACAGAAAAGCAGGGCTGCTTTGAAAACAGCGTAGGATTTATTACATAAGTTTCTGTGAAATGGATATTTGTTTTATATCGAATCCTCTCTTATATTCTGCTGGGAACATGGAGATGTTCTTTTATTGTTTTGTATTTAAGTTTAAAATTAATTTAAAAAAAAAAAAGGGCAATGATCGCTACCACTTTCTTCTACAGCAGAGCCAGCTTCTACTTTAACAAAGCAGTTTAGTCAGTGCATGAAATTCTACACTTGTGGGGGAAAACCATAGTAGAAATAACACTGGATTATAATCCAGGAGAGCTGAGAGCTGGTACAAATTCTCCCGAGACAAGTCACTTTTTGTCCTCTTTGGGCATCAGTTTTTTCCTCTACAAAATAAGGAGGTTCCATTGGATGATCATCCAGTTCTAATATTCTGTGATTCTATGACCCAAATTGGTGACAAGTCTCCCTTTTGGTTACTCACCATCATCATCATGTCTCCTCCTCCCCCATGACTATGAGAGGCTGTAGGGGATGAATGATGGTGGGGGGGCATAGTGCTATTGCTGCCCAAATGGCTCATCCCATGATGGTGTTCTAAGGACATCTTCCTAGGACAGATTGAACAGCAGAATCCTCCTGAGATACAGTTTGGGATCATTAAAGTACACATCTATAATTTCTTCAACTCTACTTCAAAATGTCTCAAACAATCTAAGAATTATGAGTTTCATGAGTCACAGATTTTAAAAAGTATAGACAGAATTCCTCAAGGTAGAAATGCCCTAATGTCTGAGGAAAGGAATTAAGTGTTCTTCTCTAAAAAGTCCTTCTCTGAAAGGAAGAAAATTCTTAAATTACAGGAAAACCTTTCAAGTTTCTGTTATTGTAACAGTGTTCAAGCAGATTTGGGTGACAAAGTTTAAAACCACTCTAAAGCTTGTTCTAATCACCAGTGATTGCTACTGTTCAAGTTAATTCTAATTGGCAGGCCTGCATTTAATCAGAATATGTCTCTTACAAATTAGACTTCCAGATTTAAGTGATTTCTTCTGGGAGAAAGGTCTGCTGTTGCCTTAGGCAAGTTGAGTGATGAGATAAAGGGTTTTAGAAAGTGCAGCACAGAAAGCAAAGAGCTATTGGATCCAATTGGGTTTTCCCAAATTACATAAGTTGAAACAACTGTGTATCCTGTCTAATACTTACATGAATTACCTCTTTTACCATGACACTACTTTATCACAGTAACTATGAACCCAAGTTAAAAGGTCAACAGTTCTGAATCCAAGTAGCTAAAGGATATATCCCCTTCCTGCTTTCCTCAGGTTCTACAATGCAAAAAACCCATAAGAAAGGCTTTCCATTAGTGAGGCTTCCTCCTCATTCTCCCTATCAATGATCATCATATGATCAGTGATGTCATACAACTCAAACATATGGTAGTCTGCCAAGTTCCTATCTCCAGGAAAGAACATCACGAGCTTATTTATTAAACATAACCAAAGTTACACTTCAGTTAATTTTAAAGGATGCTCAATTCAATTACACACTAGGATGCTATATTACATAAAAGAACTTGAAAATCTGCCATTACTACTAACACTGTCAAATTTCCTTTCATTTCTACATATTTGTGGATGGAATTGTGGAAACAGAAACATGGTCTCTTCACTCAAGAAGCTTTTGATCTACTTGAGGATACTATAAATAAATAAAGACAAATAATAGCAGGTTACATATGCTAAGTTCTAACTGTGTATTAAAGGTGTAAGTGCTATTAGAATTCAGAGGAAGAGTTTACAGAGTTGTTGGACAGAACATGGACATTTCAAAGTCAGCCAGTCTCATTTCACACTGCTACTATGGTAACCAGGCCAAATGAAGAATGTCTTCCTTTGAATAATGGGCTTAAGGTACCATACAGGGCTGCTATAAAAACAAACAATCGATTCAACTTTTGAAAGTCTTTTCCCCTCTATATACGGCCACTATTTTCTCTACTAGATCTTTTATTTCCATTCTCTATCTATCATTCTCAAATTCCAAATGAACTTAAATTTTTGCTCAGTTACCCAGTTAACAACAAGGTTAATATAACACCTTACTATGCTACAGTGATAAACCATTTTGAAAGCTAGATTCTTGGGAGGCCAGTTCAGAGGAGGATCCTAGTCCATCCTTCCTTCCCTGATCAGAAATACAATGTGGGAAAGTTCAACACAGCTGAGCTTAGTGGTTGGGATTTCTTCTTGATCCCATTCCTACCATCACAGGACTAAAACCCACAAGACATTATCGGCCTAATTACTTATAAGGAGGAAAAAAATCCGTCATGGGAAGTTGTGCTTAACCTAAATGACTTTTCAAGAAAGAGAAAAAAAAATTAGAATATTTACCAGTGTACAGGAAGTAAACATAAACTGACATTTATGATACTTTGCCACTTGTTTTTTTCAGTTAATAGACCTTCTATCTGGCCTATTTTCCCTTCAGCAGCACTCACAGAACACACAATTCCCCCCTGTCCAAGCACCCCGCCCTTGGGCTCTCCTCCGTCCCCCAACAGAATTTATACTTACAGATAATTTGGCAGTTGGCTACTTTTGAATGTTTCTTTCACCTCAATTGATCTCAGAAACACCAAGCTCCAAATTTCTTCCAGAAAAAAACTGTGAGTGAAGGAGAGAATAAGTCAAAGTCCAGACAGAGTCACAGCAGTACTGTTTGCTGTCTTTACCTGTAGTCTGAAAGGAATGGTTTAATCTCATGGTAATCATGAGCTGTGCTGTCTTTGCTTTATTCAATTTCCTCTAAACTCCTCTGCCAGCTTTAACTACTTCCTCTCCGAGGACTGCCTCTGCAGCTCACAAGCCACCTTTTTCTGGGTACAGGGTTCGAGGTCTACAAAAGATCAGGGTGCTATCTTGTTAGAATCAAGGCCAATTTCTCATTTGACAATGTAAAGTGAAATGAACATGTGACAGAACTACTGAGATCTGATTGGTTGATATCACCTCGAAGGGGTCTTTTTAACCTTTGGACATCCTGAGGCTGCATGCTAACTGATTCTTTTGAACTTTCAGGAAATGTCACTTGTTCAAACTTCCTTCCATCATCCATTTCTCTCCTGGGTCTTATTTCCCCCTTCCATCAAATAACATGCCAGGTGTATAGTTTGGAGAATTGTAATGATCATTGTCACTTAAAAACTCAGTGACAGAACTAATTCCCTCTGGATTCTTTCTAGCTAGCTTCCATTTCCCTTTTCTGTACTTGGCCTGGAGGCAGGAAGACCTGAGTTCAAATCTGAACTCAAGACACTATCTGTGTGACCCTGGGCAAATCACTTAACCTCTGTTTGCCTTAATCCATTGGACAGGAAATGGCAAGCCACTGAAGTATGTCTGCCAAGAAAACCTGAAATAGGGTCATGGAGAGTTGGCCATGACTAACAACTGAACAACAACAAATCTTTCTACTGACTGGAATACTAACAGGTAATGGAATAATAGCACATTTCTTTGATATAAATTATGGCCACTGCATTGCCTATTATCTCCCTCAAACCAACTTTAATATCCCCAATCCCCAGAGCAGTACATCTCTAGCCAGAAGGCAGTTTTGGAATAAAGAAAAGTACTATGCACTTGAAGTCAGAGATCCTAGGCCTAGAGCTCACTCTTAGGGTGCTTTTGTGCAAATCATTTAACCCAAACTCTTGGAGCCTCAGTTTCCTCATCTATAAAATGAGGGGCTTAGACTAATTGATTTTTCTCCAGTCCCTTCTTCAGCTCTATATCCTGTGTTTTTTTTCTGATGCTTTCTATAGACACATAGAAGGTAAGATTAAGTCCCTAGAGGTCCTGGGCTCAAACTCCACCTTTGCCTTTCACTAGTTTCTGATCCTGAGCAAGTCACTTAACCCAAGACAATCAATTACAAAGATGTCAGTCTGCACTAGGAGAGTTTCTATGCCAGGAGTTGCCTACAGCAATAAAATCACAGGTGCAAAGTGAATTCTTATTAAGTAAATGAAATTATCAATATAATTATTACCAGCAGCTCATCAAAGGACAAGATTTACATAGACCAGGACAGTAAAACTAAGTGAGGACCTTTCTGCAACACCAGAACTTAAGCTCATGCTATGGCGGACATTTTATTGGAGGGCTCAGTCAGGAAACTGGCCTGGAGTGAGCACTGAAGCACTGACCTGGTGGTGACCGATAGGGCTTCTAGGCTTAGTCCAAACTCCAATCTATCCTGCATTTTCCTGTTATTGCACAATGATGGATAAGGAACTAGAGCCCACAGGGACCGGGAAGATTACACCTCACAGAGCGGCTACAAAGGAGGTGTGGAGAAACACCTGGCAGAGGCTCCTTTCTCCTCTGGTTCAGACAAAAAGATGCAATCAGTAGTCTCAGACAATTCTGGAGACTGCCTCCATTCTCTCTACAACTTCCTATACTGTGGGAGCTTGGGAGAATGTCTTCACTCTTAAGAAGATTAGGGTCATGTTTCGTTTCAAATTAATATAAGCAGCAAACAAAAGAAAGAAGTCTAGTTTCTCCTCAGCTTTGTGCTGATCATATAATCCCTGAGTTCTAGGTATGGAAGAGATGGGAAACTCAAGGTCAAGGTACATGAACATAAAGCAGTTTCAAGCTTTAGAGTCTATGATCATATGACAAGCAAAGATGGGCAGTCATTAAAACCCAGGACTTGAACTAACCAAGTAGAAAGATGTTCTGGGAAATGTCCCTGGTAGAGTTCATTAGCTACTGAGGCCTTGAAGCAAAAACTATAGTGTTGCACAAACTTTTGTGATTTATTACATGCTCATTGTCAGAAATAATTTTACTTAACTGTTTGCCTTTGTGACAAGGAAGGATTCAATGCAATAATGGGAAGGAATATTAGGAAATAGTGGTGGAAAAACAAAAGGCCTCAATAAAGCTTAAAAGCCACTCCTTAATGGTTATGGAAGAGAGGCCACTAGTAAAATAGAACCTCAACCAAGGTAATCTACTGTGTGTTTCGTGTGTTCAGTTATTTTCAATTGTGTTCAACTCTTCATGACCCCATTTGGGTTTTCTTGGCAAAGGATACAATGATGTGCCATCTCCTTCTCCAGCTCATTTTACAGATGAGGAAACTGAAGCCAACAGGGTTAAGTGATTTGCCGAGGGTCATACAGCCAGTAAGTGTCCTAGGACAGATTTGAACTCAAGAAGATGAGGATTCCTGACTCCAAGCCTGCTATTTTATCCACTGCACCACCTAAATGTCCCTCACCTCAGCCTGGTACTCTAAATGATGGCAAGAGAATATAGCAGGATTGTTACCAAGACCACTTTCAATCTGGCCCAAGATTTCATACTGTTTACTCACACTGAGCTTGTAGGTCACTAACCCCCTCACCCTGATCTTTTTCAAAGAACATGGTGAGACCCATATAGAATAACTTGGGAGTTATTTTAACTTAAGTCTAAGACTAAAGTCTTATACTTACCCTTATCATCCTATTAGATTTATATCAACGTACAAGCCTGTCAATAGCTTTTTGGATCTTGACCTCATTATCCAATGTGTTAGCTCTCCTTATTAGCTTTGCAATTTTGATAAGTAAGCCATCTATGCCTTTGTGTTGTGATACATATTCATGCACAGTTTGCAGCTTGGAAGTAGTTCTCTGCATTTGGGGCACTCAGATAGAAAGCTATTTCTTCCAAGCTGCCAATGAACCATGAAGAACCATTCTTTGAGTAGCATGGTGGATGCTTAGCTGGTGAAAAGGAATCAAGAAAGATCGCTGTCACATGGAAGAATTACGCTTACTCTGAATCCAGAGGGCAGAACTAGGAGCAACAGGAAATTGCAAAGTAGCAAATTTAGGCTTGTTGCTGGGAAAAACTCAGAGGTATCCAAAGGCAGAATGAACTGCCTAAGACATTATGTATTTGCCCCTTACTGGAGATCTCCAAGCAAAGACTGGATGATCTCATTGATCCTGAGTGTCTCTGGAGAATGAATTTTAGGGATGGGTTGGACTGGATGGCTGCTAAGGTCCCTTCCAACTCATTAGTATGGCACGACTAGTCCTGGCTGAAGCCATGTTGGCTTTGTGATTTCTTGATTCCTTTTCAACATGTTTGTTAACCATCTCTTTATTAATAGATCCTAGAATTTGCTAGGATGAGAATCAGCTCACTGGCATATAATATTAAGACTTTTGAAATGTTCAATCTATATGGAAATGTTCATTTCTTATGTAATCCACTTCAATCCTTTTTCTCTAAGTCTTGTTATTCCTAGATGAGTTGGGGATGTTAGTGAACAATGAGTGGAAAAGATGTCAGCTCTTTGTCACTAATAGTAGGGTTATAAGTTACAATAAGTGACAGCATCCAGAAGAAAAATAACCAATGAAGCTTCAATTTAATTCTTTCTAAAAGTATTTATTACAATAAACTTTTGGCTTAGAAACAAGTTATCCAGCCCTCCAGCTTCTCCTTCTGGCAGCCTGTTTTCATTGCCAGTTACAACCTGCATTAGTTATAAGGGTAGGGGGGTGAGGAAGAGCTGAGATCATTTTTTAACTTGTTAACATCAAATAAAGAGCTGAGTGAAAAGTTTGAAAGGACTGACCAAAATTATGTTTCGCGACTATTCTGTGTATTTTTATTTCCTCCTTCCACCTACTATACAATAAACCATCTTAAGTAAAGTACTGTACATTACATTCACAGCACCTCTATGGAATTCTCTAAAAGGAGCCAAGATGAGAATTTCTGCAGATTGTAAAAATGTTCAAGTAGCAGCTTAGACTGAGTGGCTGAATCTCATAAATCAGACTAATAAGCTGCATCAAAAGAGAATCTTTTCCTAGAAGCACCAGGATGCCTAAGGTACAAGGTACAACACTACTTCAAACAATTACATTAAAAACCCAGATTTAAGAGCTTTCATTTATGAGACCAATAAAAATGACCCAGGCAAGCAAGAAACAGAGCATGGCCTGGAGTTTTGAAGAAAACAGCTGCAAGTCAAAGCATAAGAAGCCAAGAGTGAGTAAGAAATAGCTTCTCTGGAGGGGCGGAGCCAAGATGGCAGAGGGAAAGCAGTGACTTGCTAGAGCTCTCCCACAAACCCCTCCAAATACCTACATAAAATGGCTCTAAACAAATTCTAAAGCAGCAAAACCCACAAAAAAAAAACAGTAAAACAAATTTCCAGCCCAAGACAACCTGGATGGCTGATCAGAAAGGTATATCGCGCTGGGCTGGCAGTTCGGTTTGGGCATACAGGCCACAGCTACCCTGGAGCAGGCCTCAGAGGGCTGAATCGCGGGCAGCTGTGGCAGTTTCCAGAATTCTCAACCCACGAACACCAAAAACAACTTAGAAGGTCAGTGGGAAAAGTCTGTGACTGTGGTGAGAGAAGAAGCTAAATCTCAGCCACCCCGAGGGCAGCAGCTGCCTTCTGAGCTTCTGGCCCACAGACTGAGGGGGAATCAAGTGGCTGATCAGAGGCGGATTGCAGGGATCTCTTTGCAAGGGCTGAGGCAGGAATCTTTTGCTTTGCCCATGCTTGGATCTGGGTCACAGTTCTGAGGCGAGGAGGAGCACTGGCGTGGTGGAGCTTGTTGTGGAGGTGGAGAGGAAAC